TCTATTAATTTTTCCCTTTTATTGATATTAAAACTGATTATCATCAATGAGTTAGATTTAGGTTGGATTACTCAGGTATACAATTGCCGTGAGGCGACCGCTTACGCCAGAATAAGGTGTATTTGTAACCTAAGTTTAACCAGAGTTTTTTGCGAATATCTCGGAAACTAAGGCCGAGGGGCGGTGATATGCTTAGAGAAAAGTTACTCGGAATGTTGTCCTTCAAAACATATTTGAATATCATTGAAATCGGTGAAGTGTGTGCCCTTTTTTGTATAACTACCGATTTCAAGTGTTGTTACAACCTTCGTAATTCTTATGTTTCAAATACAGATAATAAATATATCATTGTATTGGTGTCTTATTTCTTACGAGTCCATTACTGTTCTTTGATCCGCGGGGTTGGTCAAGGTACTAGAAATTTTCTCTTCGAAAGCCTACTTCGTCCACTACGGTCGCTGAAAAGATTTTAATTAGAAAGTTTGCTATACAGTTGACCTCGGGCAATGTTGTGAAATGTTCTACCAGCCCATTTCTGCACTTGCGTTATCATTTTTTATTTTACAGTTTGATTCCTTTATTTTTAGATTCGTAAGTATCTTTCGGTCAATCTCATTGTTTAGCTTTTCTTTTTAAATAAAATTTTTCAGAACATAGATTGTCTTGAATTTTACCGCGTTACTTGTGGAAACATTTTCTTTTTGTTCCTTTCTTATACCTAAGCCATACTATTCTTTTTCATTTATCTTTTTATTTGATTATTATACTTAAATCGATCGTTTTTTCTGTACTGTAATTTTGTCAACATTAAGCTTAAATTTTGGCAAAATTAAGCTTAAATTTTGGCAAAATTAAGCTTAAAATTTATCACTTTCTTATGACAGTATTTTTCATTTCATTATTTTCGCTTTAAATTACACCTTCGTCGAAATACTGTTTCCTCTTAATTATATTTTCAGTACTTATCTTTGTACTTTATTAACTATCATATGCAAAATCCACACTTTTGTAAGAGTGGTTTTCAACAGTCTTAATAGTGTTAAAGTAATAAGCGTTTCTGGGTTTAACGACTCAGATACGTTACAGTGTCAAAGTAATAAAGATAAATCACGTGGATTTGGAATGTCAATGGAATAGGTAAAATGTTTGAAGTAAATATGGATTTACACACAGTTACATATATCTATGTAGTAATAATTATGCTAATTGTACAATCATTACAGAAAAATTTCTAAATGAATCGTGCTAAATATACACACAGATATGGACCAATGACAGAAACTTGGCATATTAACAAATGTTCAATATTTTAAATTATAGTTCTAAATAATTAATTATTATTGCTGATATTCTGTTAGCAATAATACTATTATCATATATTTACTTACACGTCGCATACTTAAATATATACATTAATGTTTGTGCAATGTTTAAATATGAAGGAAACGTAATAAATCTTTGTACAAAAAAGTCTGAAGAAATTAGTAAAAGAGTATGCTTAAATTTATTCAACAAATAATAGTAAATAGTAAATCTTGAAATATTTCTTAAGTTAATTTTCTGCCTATCCAATATGGAAAGTAAGAAGCAGAAGTAAATAGGTGGTGCATCAAGTTCATAATACTTAATGCATCCATAATTAAAGTGGTGTTTAGTAAAATGAAATTCAATGTATTCTGATCTATTATAGGTTATTAAGTGCAATGCATGTATACAGTAACATATAATACATTCAACTTTATATTTTTTCAAAAATCTAGTTCTGTATCACAGATAACGTTAAAATGCATTCTATTTAAACATGATTATCCGTGTCAAGCTCAATATTGTGTAGAAATACTTGCAATTATTTATGCCAAATTGAAGTATGTTTAGAAAGTAATTCAATCCTGGGTTATTACATATTTCCAACTAAAAACGACATTTATTCACTGCTTTAACGGTCAATTTAAGTAATATTATTATAATACGAGTGACCAAGTATTAAAAACGAATTACGTTTCCCCTTCTCGTCATATAAGATCATTAAAACCTAATCAAAACAATAGTTCGAATATGCAAATTATTATAGGTAAATAACACGTTCAAACAGTTCGTATGCTGCTCGGTAATAATTTCTCCTAGATCTACTCGTTTGGATCTACTCTATAGAATATTTAAAATATTCCACAAACATTCGATCTGGACGATAAGAATAATAGACGAGGAAGAGAATATCTGTTACATTTTTCTTGGAGGAATCGACAAAACTGGAAAACAGGTGATGCGAGCTAGTACACGGGCGACCTCTGCACTGCTCGACATACTAGTACCTATATCAACGAGGAGTCTCGGTGTATGTGTCCTTCATCGATAAAGTTCGGAGTAACTCGGTTGAACGGCGCTGTCTCCTCGCTCGCTGAAAGGGTGACGGATTCGAGCAGGCTTCGGGGAGGCTGTGGGAGTTCGGAAGGGTACCGAGTGGCTCCGATCCTCGGCCGAAAGTGCGCGGTAATACTCGACGAACGAGCACGAGAACATCCGAAGCCGGACCGAGTGGAGGACATTCTACGACGACGACATGTCTGCGAGGTTCGACTTCCGCGAAGTTAACATTGGAACTTGAACAAACACGGTATCGGCGTTAACAGATCCGTTTTATTAATAATCGGATCCACTCGCCGTCACCGTCGTCGCCGACGACAGACAGTGGCGGTGAAATGTGACGTGACGAATTGTTTCGGAAAGGCAGTGATATTGTGTGCGTGCGTGCGTGCGTGTGTCTGTATGTGTGTGCATGCGTGCGTGTGTTTCGTGCTCTAGTGCTGCATCCTGAAAAACGCGTGGACGGTTTAAATAGCTGTAGAGAAACATACTTGTTCGTCTCTATGTGTAACAGCAGGGGCCTGTGCAGCACGCACGCATCTAGTAGGAAGAATCACAGCGGAGGGGTGTGGAGTGTGACAAACTCTTCCCCGACAATAAGTATCAGCCGTTTTCTCTTCTGTTTTTCTTTCCCGTTAGTCTCTTTCTTCGTGGATCTATCATCCCCACCTCAGGGCCAAATATCTCTGTCTTCGTTTGGCTAGCAGTGACCGTCGCCGTGGAAAATATGTTCTGTATAGTACACGCGGTATCGCTGTCGCCGTGGTTGGTACTAGTGTCAGTACTGCTGGTGGTGCTAGTTCTGGTGCTGAGGATGGTGTAGCGCGGGTGTGCGCGCGCGGTGCTGCCTCGACGGCATACAGTGCGGACGGTGGCTTTAGATTCGAAGCTACGGAAGAAGAGCCGCGAGCTCGGCCGTGCTCCGATGGCCTGATATACACTACGAGACGCGTATATGAAGCTACACTGCCCTGACTCGTCGAGTGAGTAGTAATTATCGCATTCTGACTCGACCTTGTGACACCAGTGCAACGTTGATCACTCCTTATCTAAATGTCGATCCTGAACAAAGAATTCCCGTTCTTCTTCCGTCCGCATTTCCACACTTTCTTCTTTCATCTACCGTCACATGAAACTTCTCAGCATCAATTTCCTGCTGTCCATAAAAATTCTTCAAATTTCTGTGTGTGCTCTCTGTCACGGAAAACGTAGTCTTTTTCACTTAATCTTCATTTCATTTATCGAGGAATTTTCTTTAAATCCTTCGATCTGTTAATTTCCTTTCCCTTTTCCTTTCTCTTTATCTTTTATTTTACCAATGTTGTTGCATCAGCATCATTCGGGCCATTCAAGTGAACGAACAAAAATGATGAAAATGCAAATGATTGCCAACATACAGCAACCTTGTGGATATATCGTGTGATTTTTTCACCCCCCCAGACATATGTATTTCTTTCATTTACGAAAGCGAATCACAAGTCGGAAAATACCGTATCAAGGAGCTACAATAAATATCGACCACGTATTCCGACGATGACCGAAAGCCTAAAGAAAGTGAACCGGGTCACGACGCAGTTTTCCCCGATGCGCATTTCCAAAATTGACGGAACATAAAAACTTCCGGTAGTATTGAGCTTTAAATAGTACGTTCTTACTGAAAAATTGATAGGGAACTTTTCATTAATTTTATAGACATGTTACGTGGTCATTTTATGATCTAACCTTCTACTTTATTGTCGATACAAAAAGCATACATTATCACGGGGTTTCCCAATACCCTTTCAGTAGTACCAAACAGTTTGTTATCATTTGGAATCGTGATTGCTATTGTAACGATTGAATGAAAGTCGAACGATGGGAATAAACTTCCGCATTATCGAACTGCACCCTCCCTTCATTCTTTGCAATTGCCTTTTTCATTACAACTATCCGCTCCTTATGGAGTTCTATCAAACAGTACGTAACGTAATGGTGTAAAAATTTTTTTTAGCTTATGTCGAACGGAAATCATAATTGTTCAATAGGAAGATCCATGTTAACTTTGGTGACAGTTTGAAATAAATCTTCATTCCCACTGTTCGTACCGTTCCTTTGTAGACTTCAACTAAGCGGAGTATATTTACCATCCTTTGCAATTTTTCTATAATACGAGGATAAGCGAAACTATTTTCTGAATTATTTCTCAAAATACCGAAATATCAGCGATAAATCATTTTAAATGGCAAATAGGAATTTCGTAAATAAAGATTTTTGGTAACGATGACATAATTACATTTGGTTCACAATACATCACTTACTTGTGTTTATTTTTTTAAACTACGATTCTACATTTTTGTCATTTGAAGAGCGTTACAATACGGACAATATTATTTTGTTGTAATTATGTATGCACATGTACGAATGTATGTATGTACATGTTGAATTATTATATGATAAACGGAAATGGAACAATGAAAATAATTTTAATTTAATTTATTGATTATTTTTTTGTCGTGTACTCTGTCGAAAAGCTAATTTTTTTTTATTTCATTTTTATTTCACGGCGAATGTTACAGCTGCCGAAATGTTTAAAACAGTTCTCTTATCTGCAAATAAGAAAATGGTATTTGTGGTCTTGAAATGATTCTCTTAAATAAAACTCTTGTATCAAAAGAGTTTATGTTTCAAACAGTACCTCATTTCTTATATCTTACAATTGGTTGCATAGTTTTCATCAAAATGCATTCATATCTGCTAACATTAATATAACTTTGCATTAGTTATAGCGAATGTATGCTAAATATTATACTAACGCTAAATGTTTTATTAAAATAATGTACGACTTCATGAAACAAAGAAAATTAAATTGTAAGTCTAATTTTAACATAAACTGACTTTATCCACTGTAATGCTAAACTACTTAAATACCTCGACAATTTTTTCCCAAAACTTTTTGTGCGTTATTAAAAACAAGGGTAGTAATTATATGGTCACGTTACGTAGATTATTCTGTATATTAACTATAGGAGTTTTATTTAGAATGCCTGCAGGTACAGCGTTTGTAGATAGAAAGAATAGGTGAGAGCGGGGCAATTCCGGTAATACATAAGCAAGAAATGCTATAAAATTCGAACAAGTTGCACATTTGTTAATTTTTTGATATTAATTGATAGCTTGAGGTGTCTAGTTTGTATTAGTATGGCCGAGAAGGCACAAATTTACGTTGTAATAAAATTAGAAACGTAAAACGGAAAAAGGTCATTTGACTGGAATTACCCCACTAGTGGGGTCAGAATTCCGGCCACGATTTTTCTTTATAAAAGAGATAAGAAAACTGTTAAATTAATAGAAAAATTTGTTATTTTTTGTTTTAACACTAGAACTACCGACCGGGTCAAAATGACCCATTAGCGACTTTCCAAAAGTGAATTTTTATGTAAGTAAACCGTGATTGGAAAATTCGATTCATACCGATGCAAATGGCGGCATACATGTAGAATACAAATTCGGAAAGTTACAAGCGATAATACTTACCAGTATAGAACATTCGCGTTTTTTCGAAAGATGCTAATGGGTCATTTTGACCCGGTCGGTAGTTTTAGTGTTAAAATTAAGACAGCAGTGGTTTCACTTGTTTTGCTAACTGGATTTCTTGGTTTCCTTCCAATTTTTGCAGCAACATCAGAACCTAGAAATATTTTAATTTGGAAAACCGTAACTTAAAACAATGTAAATACGATAAAAATGGTAGCTACTGTAAATGTAATGTAAATATAAACTACTTTTTCTAATTCTTTGCGATGTTAAAGGCTGGCTGGAATTACCCCACACCTCGTGTGCAGATATTTGAAGTAATACACTGAATTGAATTTACATATCAGAAAAAGCCACATGTGACTTTGAAACGTTCCTCTATTTAACGAGATTAATAATTTATGTCGATTCCAAGTATTAATCTACCTTGCTTGAAAGTTGGCAACTGGTACAGACTTGAAAAATGAACATTCAGATATTGTTTAAAATAAAAGGCTGCTGTAGTTACAGAAACGATGAATATTAACTAGCCGCATCATTACCAAGTGGCTGTACCATGCAAAGTCAAATCACGCGTTTTTTTATTTTAAGAAATTAAAGTGGCTGGAATTACCCACTGACCGGAATTTCGCCTACTCTTTCATGTTAACTCTTCCTTGAAAAGTTTGTTTAACGTAACACTCGATGATAAAATACATAGTAGAAATATAATAGATAAAACGGTACTTATCATTGGTAATTTTTGAAACCTGAATACCAAGTAAGTATAACTTATTTAGTTTACACTACAACGTGTACCTACAATCAACGTGATAAAAATGAAAATGCGTTTTGGCAGTATAATTCTTTTTTCAAATAATTACTCTTGAAATATTAATTCTTTTGCAAAGCTTAACATTTCTTCTTTTCCTAATTGTCTGATTTCTAAGTAACGAAGAAACTTCTTTACCTTCAACGAGTTTTTATATGTACATGCACAATTTTGTTACATAATTCATTTGATTCGGAAGCGTATCGGTACCGGACTTTTGTTTTGGATATAATATTTACAAGATTATTACGAACTCTGTAAGATAGCACCTATTTTGTGTATGATTCGAGAAAAGAATTCAAAACGTTTGATGATTTTGATTTTTTAGAAATGAGAGAATTTATCAGAGTTTAACTGGCGGGCCAGCCATATCGCAGGGAGTAACTAAATCGAACAATGGAATTGATTTCAGATTAATGGTAAAATCTTGGGCATTGTTTCCGAGAAAATTGAACTTAAAAATAAGCTACAAACTTCTCCTCATACTTGTACGTTCATAAACAGTGGTAATGTCACATTTAGCAAAGAAATAGTCTACGCAGGAGATAGTGTATATCTGCAACTAAAACAAAGAATCGTACAGGCTTTCACAAAATTAAAACGTGAAAATACCGTATCATTGGTTCACGACTCTCAAATTCAAACAGCAAGGACTTGTTTGCTTTAACACGGATGTCACTTTCATCAATTCGTTCAGTAATGTTAATTTAAATTAAGGAAATCGTTAATACATGTATTATTGATACTTTTCATGACATTGGTATCGTTTATTAGGGCAAACGTAAAGCCGAGAGATAGTTAAATCCACACGCACTCAATGAATTCTGAACCTCTTATGAAATAATTTTATTCTATATTTTTAATTCAGTTTTTCATGTGAAATCACCACCTTCTCGCTTGTACCACCAGTTACACGACACTCTGTATATCCTTCGAAACTTCTTCAGGAAATCTGTGTTCGAATAAGCGATCCTACTACAATTTATAAGAGAATAATATCTTAAAGCGAAAACATTAATTCAAATATTTCATAAACTATAATGCTTAACAAAAAAAAAAGTGTTGGTTGTTCGGATAATGGCAACAAAATTCTTGTACTAAATGTTATTTCAACCAATAAGCATTTATTTTTATAACTTTAGTACTATATTCACTTTTCGATTATACTTTCTTTCATATTTCTTTATTTAAGATGCCTTTTAAATATTTGCTTACTCTTTACTTACATTTGTACGTAAACTAACGTTGTACCGAGCATTATTCGTGGCAAAAGAATTATTCATAAAAATGACAGAACTACAGATTTTCACCTAAAAGAATCTAAATTATGAAAAGACTTTTAGGTTTATCGCATGAATTGATTAGATTATAACTTACGAAAGTAAGTATACACGTTCTGGAAGGAAGAAATTTTCTTTCACATTTTATCGATACACGTTTAAATATGTATAATTTTAAAATGAAAGGCTGAGGAATAGCGTGTCATGGTATAAGCTTCAAGATAAACAACATGTACGTATATGTTTTTATACACTGTTCGTACGTATGCAATTTGAAATAATTTTTTGAAATTTTCAGTGGGCGTGCGGGGGTGACTGGAGTGATGGGATGGGGCCAGAGCCCCATGGAGTTCGGGTAGACCCGTCTCCGGCCCAACTCCCCAGCCCCCTCCGCCATCAATATCGTCACAGCTCAAGCCAGCGTCGCAGAGGGCCGCCTCGATCGCGATGGAGGCTTCTAACAATCAACAACAAAAGGAGAAGGAGTCACGCGTTCACAGGCCTTGCGCCTTCGACAAGGTTTGTCAATATTTTTGTCAACTTTAAACATTCTATCAACAGTATGACAGAGATCACGTACTGTCCGACAAACTTAAAGTGAAGTCTCAGGCGGGACTTAGGGCCTAGAAGTGGGAGATGTAGGGGAACTTGCGACGGCTCGCTGTTAGTAAGCCAATAAGGATAGAATAAGGCTATCGCAGTTACTCTTAGGTCTTCCCTTATAGTCAGCCAATTGGGATAGAATAAGGCTATCGCACTTACTCTTCTATGAACAATAGACGACGATCGGGTCTCGTTCGAGCAGTCGAAAAAAAAATTAAGTTTATGTCGCGCAGACACCATAAACAGGCGAACAGATGCCTGCGCGACGCAAAACGACGTGCATCATGGTAAACTTTATTTTTTTATCCCATGTTCCCAAAATTTGTCTATTATTTCGATAAGCTTATTTTACAGGTTAAAATTGAAGCAATCCAATGGTACTTTTTCAAAATTATTCTGAGTGGGAACGAGGACAAGGCGACCAAATAATTTTTAGTTTTCCGTTCTTTTATCAGCGTGTTACATTACCGACAGCTGACTTAAATTCGTTTTTCTAAGTCTAAACCATTTACCTACAACGCAACTTCCCCTCAAGCGCCTGCAGTGTAAGACCCAAGAGTAGTGGGGATGACCTGAACCGCCTATTTTGCCTCCATTTTGCTAGGCTCTGACGTCAGAGATTTCACTTTAAGTTTGTAGGTACTCCAAGTAAGACTCCAAATTACCAGATGAAAACGCATGTCATGCGCCTTCAGCAAGCTAGATCACATTACAATCTTCTTGATCAAATCTTTGTCTTCGCAAAATGTTTTCGAGGTTCTAAAAAAAATGGTAATTTAAAAGAAAGATTAAATGGGCTGATAGACAGGAAAATTACTTTTAAAGTAATGTTGTTTCGTAACTAGGATTCAGGCGAAAATTTTTTAATAAATTGAATGAAATACTTTTAGAAAATTGTCTATTCCCTTTGAAAGTTGTAAATCTCATGTTAGAGACAACTTGATTATTAATTTAATTAACTAACGTGCCAGGAGCAAATTTGATATACAGAACAGGTAACGAATGCGTAAGAACAAACATCAATCGATTGGTTCTGTTTATTACAGATGGAGGGGCTGGTGCGGGAGATGCAAGACCCTGAGAACGGGGTACCCGTGCGCAGCCAAAAACAATTTCTCACCTCAATCCCCTCAGCTTTCATGGGTGAGTGCCATCGGTACCTGCGTTGTGGAGTAAGCGTAAGCGGCCATCACGGCCAGGACACTACAGTAGGCTGCCTGCGTGTTGCAGGTTACGACCTCATCGAGTGGCTGATGGAGCGGCTTTCCATCGAAGAATCAGGTACGAAATTTCAAATTCAATAACACGCCGAACGAACGTTTGCCAACTTTTCCGTGATGCCTTAACGATACTAAGCTAACAATTGATTAGTCGATCACATCATGTGCACCCTGTCGTTGCACTTTTATTTTCATTTTGCTAATTGCTCCATTAAACTGTTTTTCTGTTCGATTTCAAGAACTTCTCTGAAACTTGAACAAATATCCTTATCATCATATAAGTGGATATAAGCTTCGCTTTTACGCCTTCTTTCTTCCCTTTTCATTTCGTTTCTACCTATTTGCTTTTCTTTGCGTCTAACTAAGAAACAACGCAGCTTTTAATGTGCAAATTTAGCGCGTCGCATCATGTAATTGCATTGAATTAAAGCTTGTAAGTAACTTATGATAATGACAGTTACTTTTACTGATTTGTCAAGTACACTTTGCACGAGATAATATGCTTTAACCTTAACAACCAAAAACAATTTAAGAACAGTTTTCCTCAAAAGTTGGATTCTTCAAACACTAAATATATTTAAAATTCCTAAATGTAATATATACTTTCAAATCAGAACAATCTTCGAAGGGCATGATAATTATATTAATGATATTATTGGTAATAAATATTTTTCTCTTTTTCTTAAATGTATAAAGAGTGCAAGGAATTTTCTTTAATCTCTGCAAACTGTAAGAATGTAAACTCAGTAATATACAAAAACTTAAGAGTAAACTTGAAGCTGACTTCCGGCATATTTTTTATCAATGAATCTTTTAATGACTTTTCAGTAATAATTCGTTTAAGTTTATTTACAATCTTGTTATACGATACAAAATCGTTTTCTTTTACGTTACCATTTATTGTTGCTTTTATTTTGTATTTTTGAAGCAACTTTGTTTATACGGTATGTAATATCATTAAAACAGCTCGGAAGAAGTATGGTTATACCATATATATTTATTATCTGAAAATTAATTTTAATTCGATATGTAGGGACATATATACAGGATGTCTCCGAAATCATAATACAAGTAGCCGGGTGGTGATTCTACATAAAGGGAATAAGTCGAAAAAAAAGAATTACATCGAGTTTGAAAATTTGTTGCGTACATACATACATTGTACAAATACATATGTACGCTGTTACGGCTAAGCTACGGTTCTTCAAGCAACGTACTACACGTATCGTGTTAATAAAATAAAATTTTGTTCGTTAAACATTTTCTTTGTGTTTTTCCTTGTACTTAGAAGTAGGGCTATTACTTTTAACCGGGTATCTGAGATATCCGGGTATTCGAGTCCCCATGAGATACCCGGGTAGATGAAAATAACCCGATCGACCCGGGTATCTCACGAGTACTCGAGTATGTACATAAGACAGTCGAAATCTCGATGGCCGCTACCGCTGGCATTGTCGGCAATTACTATTGCAAAAAATGAAAACAAAGAATTGTAGGGCGTCTAGGAAAATGACGTACTCTCCTGCGTCAAAGGGTCACTTACGACTGACTTACGACTTAGAGCCGTCACTCTTTTATTATTGTTTTACATATATCATATACATATACCTAAGTACCCAAACACTCGAGGAATAATAAATATCTACTCTCAGCTATCTCATCTCGTGAGATATCCGGGTAATTTCTGATTACCCGAGTATTTCACGAGTAACCCGGGTACCCGGGTATCTCTTGAGTAACAGCTCTACTTAGAAGCTTTTACATTGCTTACAAACACCATAAGCGTTATGTACTATACGTCGCACGGTGAATCGTATTTTACTTAACCGCGATTACGTACATACACGGTGAATTTTCAAACTCAAACTTATTCTGCTTTAAGGGGGGGTACGAATACTTCTGTAACCCACTCTATGTACATATTGTTAAAAGCTTGATAATTTTGCATGACCTATTTCTTCTTTTTGCTTAATTTTTCGTTGCACGTTAGTGAACAGTTGTGCGTTATAAATTTATATTTCATATAAAATTAAGGAAAGGATGTAACACTTATGAATCTAGATGAAAAGAAAATAAAAAGAAATTTGAAATGAAGATAGCAATAAAGTAGTAGCAGCAATTCATTTTGTTGTACAATAGATTCTATTACTTGTACGTGCACATGCGTTGCATAAAAAATATTGATGCAACAATTTTTTACTTTACGGATGATATTCTTCTCTCACAGAAAAAGAATAAAAGCATAAACGTAAGATACGTAGAATAGCATCGTTATTTAAAAGTGTCATATTAACTGTCCAGTGCGTGTGTGTGTATTCCCTATCCCTTTAATTGTAATGTTTCGTTGTTCTTCTCTTCTACCAAGGTATAAAAGAATGAACATACTTCTAAAGCTGTCAAGTCTTAACAATCAAGATTTTAATTAATAGAATTGAAATTGTTTTATGATACATAAGGTATGTATCTCCGAATCAAGTAATTGAACTGTACCATCGTGGTCTATCGGTAGAAAAAATGTAACATAATCACATGTCAAAAAGTTTATAAAAATCATAAAAGTGAGAAAGTATTAAACACGGAAAAGTAAAAGTAACGGATTTACTATTAAAATAGGTCGATGTTGTTTGCGTAATTTGTTTATATTCAAGTTCTGTTTATCGTTTGAAATCATCCCAGGCTATCGATATTGCTTGTATCAAGATGAAGAAAATTCCGTAGCGAAACTCGAACTTTGTCTAGGCATTTCTAAACCGTGTGAAGAAGGCTATCTAAGTCCAGTGTTATAGTTTGAACACGAAAATTTTTAAAACTCAACCATCGAGAATTTAGACGAGTTATACATAGCATCGCGACTAGCTCGTGTTTTTAACACTCTCTCGCAGATAGGAACGTGCGACACTCGAATTTGGTTAGGTACTTTGCACTGTGGAAGAGATGACTTACACACATTCGGAATTTTCATGGTTTTCACTATCCAAAGAACAGAGAGAAGAAACTTTTCTGTAACCTATTTTTAAAAAACCCTGTCTTCAACGCGACGCGACAGTGGGAGTCCAAGCTTTTAGTTTAGTTCTTCAGTTCATCTAGTTCATTGCCGCAGTTCAGTTGTATAATAATTAAAAAGAAGTCGAAATCATTTCAACGTTCTTCTCCTTTACATGGTTTAATTAAAGGAAAAAGGGAGGCAACACTCTCTCGCTGTTCGCAGCAGTGTACATTTGTTATAATGAGAATGTCAAAGGGAATGTCGAAGGGAAGTCACATTGTTGAGCTCATGTTCATTACACTTACCTGCTTCTTTCACCTTATACCTGAAGGATAGATGTTCTAATAGAAGAGAGTCACATTGTTGAGCTCATGTTCATTACACTTACCTGCTTCTTTCACCTTATACCTGAAGGATGTTAAATCGACGAAAGTATGCGCCAACAGTTAACGTCGCTTTAAAATAATATTAAGTTAATTTAGAGAAAATAGGAATTAAAAATTAAACTTTTGACAAGGTTCACACCGACTGCAGATAAGTTTGGAGAATATTAACAGTTGGTAACAGATGTCATCGTAGACTAGTACAAGAATAGTCATTTCCAGACATTAATAAACAATTAGAATTCTGTAAATGGTAAGTACAGAGAATAGTAGATGAACTTCTTCTGTTAAGGATACCATACAATGGAGGCATACATATGTATGAGGGCCGTCTGAAAAGATACCAAGTGCTTTATAAAATAGAGTTTTTTTTTTTTCCAAAATTCAAATATCTCATAGAAATATTCAATTACCGCGTTAAACTCTTTTTCTACGTAACTCTTCTGCCAATTCAGGCACTTGTTCCATCGGTAGCCAAACATCCTTCCTTGACAAACGAGATATTTTGTAAGTGTATTCATTGTTTCGTAAATTTGGTAAGTTGCTCGTCACTTTTAAAATTTGATGAACAATTGATTTTTGGATACTCAACATTTTTTTATATTTCTCTACATTTCACTCTGAGATATGTTTTTCTTTGTTCAACAAATTGACACTTATCGTTGTCAATCCTAATATTACTAATAGGCATTTATTTCCCTAGCAAATAACGAATAATAGCACAATGTTCCAATGGATACGAGTCTTTTAACAGCAGTTTCATTTTTATAATCGCTATGCAAACTTTGGTAATGCAATAGCAACAAACAACACACTGTACGAATGCAAAAGAAATAGGCTACACGCAGATGCGGAACGTGAGGTATTGACTAAATAATACACCTCCTTTAAACACACCCCGTTATCAGTGTGTCTCACAAATCGTGATGAAGTGATGAACCATCATATAAGGACACGGTTTACACCCGAAAGCCTCAATAATAATAAGAATAGATTATTACGGTATCTTCACTTTACTTTACTAGTTTAGTAAAAAGAAATGGTTAAAGATCGCTTATTTTTCGGGCTGTCAAACTGGGCTCCCCTCTTAAAGCCGTATTATCCATGGATAGAGCCCTTCCTACGTTTGGGTCTCCATCACGCACATTGTTAATAAGTGATGGGCAAAACATTGACAGAGAGAGCAGACATATTCATAACTAGTATACGTAATTATGTGCTATTCAATTGGAACAGAGCGGAGTGAGGGAAGAAGCCTAATCGTAAGCTCTGCAGCTTAGTTTGAATTGGTGTCAGTACTGCTGTTAAGAGGGAATTCTCCTCCTACGTATAACTGGTTCTATCTCGTTCGTGAATAAACTTTAATAATTCATTTTGCGGAAACGGTAATATATGGTTCTCTCGTCAAGTAGAATACAAATTAATTTTTTGTTTTGATAGTAATTTTAAGGAAAACTGATTTTCAATATATCTTCAATAATCCGAAAATGTAGATTCTCCCCTAAAATCAGGTGCACCTTCTCCCTATGACTCTTTTTATATTTATATTTATATTATTAAAACAAATGCTGTAGCGTACATCCATCTGTATGCAGCATCTCGGTTTTTTAGCAATTGAAAATACAAGCACGAATTTGTGGGACCAGGACCTCCATACCCATCAAAAGGAGTGATAACAGCGAGGAACACAAAAGGGCGCCTTGGCTATGGGCTTAGAATCCCGGCTTGTTTTTGGTCCCCTCAAATTTTTCCTCAGTTCCTACAATTGGAGGTTCATTCGTAATGGAGGCATCTTACGACCATACGAGGGTGGTGTGATGACGACAAAGCGAAGTAGTTGTGTTGTGGAGAAACATATGAGAGGATTTGTGCGCACACATCTCCCAGAAGAGTTGAGAGAAACAGAGAAGAGTTTCGGTTGACAATAAATAGTAGTGCTGTGGTCGCCACTGAGTATG